TGCCCCCGGAAGTAATGGACACTTCACAACTTGTCCATTTGAGGCCAGAAAATAAACAGTGACATAATCGATTATGGCTGTTGCCGCATCGATGCTGAATCGTGCATGCCCCGCATTGCAATGCAATGCCGAATTGATTATTGTTGACACCCCTAAGGTTTTACAGGTTTATTTAGGAGTTTGTGATGAATCCAGTGTTACTCTGAACACTGCTCAACCGGAACTGAAAGGTGAGGGGGAGACACTGGTTAGTTCAGGCTCAGAAGGAATTTTGATTCTCGAACTTGAAGAGGAGAATTTGGTAGATAACTCACGTTTCCAGAAAAGTTGCTGACTCTTAGACTCCAGTCTGTGTGCGGAAGTTTCAGCGTTTGTCTGATTCGGTGGAGGGCGGACAGGGTTTACCCAGAATGCGATTGCTGATAGGCGAACGGAGAAGCTGACTGCCACTCAGATTTCCTGCGGTACTTGAACGGGTCGTAGTGGAGATAAATCCCTTACTCAGTGTGAAGCTCAAATGATCTCTTGAGGGAAAGTGGATTCAAACCTCCAGTTTGAATCCTCAACTCCGTTTGAAGCTCAGATGATCCTTCCAGGGAGAGAAGGTCCGAAAAATCCAGTTTGCAGGATGACTTTCTGCCGAGAGGCAAAGACAAAAAGAAATTTAAACTCAGCAAAACTCAGCTTGGCTAGAGTACCCAAAACTGGCAAAAACTCTGGCGTCGAGGTAGTGGCAGTCAGCAGCCTCCGTTAATGAGGCAACTAACAGCAGGTGTGTAGAGAGGAGGACCAAAACCAGGCGCCTCCTGGTGGAGGACGGGAGACAAACACAGAAAAAACAGCTGATTATTGATATATGATACTTTTGCCCTATTATAAACTTAATTTCCTCTCTCTTTCTGCTAAATCCCTGCAGCATATGAGTGGCAGGGTCATAAAAAACTACTCCACCCAGTCAGTGTGGAGATTGAAAACAGGAGGCTGCAGGTGTTTGACAGATCTGGAGCCATGCAGCGCTCCCTCAGTCTAAAAAACCAGGACCACCTGGATATCTTTCTATCCAGCAGTCACACACATAAAGCTGTGCTGCTCAAAGTACCAAAGGAGTACGACCTGGTAAGTTGCTGACCACCGATTTAAAATGCAGCTCTGGTCCAATTTAACCTTGTGCCGACAGATTTATGTTTACCTCTTTTTTTGCTCAACAAAGTGAAGTTATCTTTGCTTTAGTGTTGCTGTCAGCTGAGTCCCTGATCTAAGCATGACTCTGCAGATATATCGGATATCCATCACTTTTATCTTTTTTGCTCCCTGTGTGCTCGTCCAGGTGCTATTTTTTGATGATGAAAGTAAACGTTCAGAATTCGTCAGCCACTTGCGTCTGGAGCTGGAGGACATGAGGAAGGAGATTAGAGTGAAGGAGATGAGAGAAGGGGAACTGCTGAAAGAGGCTCTAACCAAAGAGCAGAGAGCTCAGATTGTGGAAACTTTCATTCGCCACGCTTTCTCTAAGGTACAATCAGCCTCAGGGTGTTTACCTCATATACTGCTTTCTTGCAGCAGGAGCAGCTTTAAGTTTACCCACAAAATGTCGTCAGCTCATGTTTGAGGTTGAGTTAGCTCCCGCCTCAGGCTAAAGGAACTAATTGTTGGTTTTTCTTTGCTCAGACCTTTACTATGATGAGGTCTGAGCCTCAGCTCATGGTGGAGCGATTAAGTTGTGATGATGAATAATAACCCCGTTCCACTCTCCCATTCATGTTTAGGTTTTGGAAATAGAGAGATGTCATGCTGGACACATGAGCAGCGTCTCCCGAAAGCGAGCCAGAGAGGTTCTGCAGTGCGAGCTGACGGCGTCAGAGTTTGCTGACGCCCTGGGACTGAAGCCAGACTCCTTATTTGTGGACTCTATGTTCACGCTGGCCGATAAAGATGGAAACGGTTACCTCTCTTTTCAGGAGTTTCTTGATGTTATAGTCATCTTTATGAAAGGTAGTACCAAAGATTACACATTACACTTTTTGGAATCCTTTATTTACACATATCATCTAAAAACATACAGTCTTTGAAAATTAGCAGTTTTTACTAGTGTTGTGTCGATGGAATTTTTTCGGCCCTGATACCCGATAGCTGACTGTGCAGTATTGGGATACGGATACCACACCGATACCATCTGTTTGAAATTGATGTGTATATATATGAAGTACTGCAGACTACTTGGATGTAAAATAATTGCCATCATGGCTTTTGTCAAGCTGCTGCCTTCCGTTGTGAAGCAGGAAACAGAACTTTTTATATATATATATATATAGGATTATTGCACAGGGTATTTATATAGATGGATTTATATATGTAGTGATTGTACTTGGTGTCAAATATAAAGTAACAGGTTTTTGCACAGGGTGTTAAATAGTAATTGCACATAATACATTGCACAAGTTACTGCCATTGTAGTGCAGCATTCAATAAAACGATAATTTCATATTACCGGTAGTATTTAAAGTAACACAAAACTTAAATAAGTAATGACGCTGTGCCTTGAAGCAAGAAGGTTCTGGGTTCAATTTTTCGGCCCGGGGAATTTCTGCATGGAGTTTGCATGTTCTCCTTGTGCATGCGTGAGTTCTTTCCAGGTACTCCGGCTTCCTCCCACAGTCCAAAAACATGACTGTTAGGTTAAAGGAATAGTACACCCAAAACATGATTAGCCTTCATTTTCTACTCACCCCCATGCTGAACAACACTCTGGAGTACTTTTTTGA